CTGCGCACAAGACAGCCCTTCACCCCTGGGTTGTCGGGGTGGAGATGGGGTTGGATGGGTGGGGAGCTTCAGCCGTGCTATCAACTTGTGACACTTGGTGTGTGCTCAGAGGATGGTTCTAAGGTGGTTTTTGTTTTCAATCATGGTAAAATACACATAAAATAAAATTTACCATTTTAACCATCTTTAAGTATTCAGTTCAGTCATGTTCAACACACACATTTTGTGCAACCGAACCCCAGAACCTACTTCATCTTGCAAAGCTTCGTGTCTGTACGCATTCAACAACAATTCCCCCGTCTCCTCCACATTTCCAGGCAATCATCATTCTACTTTCTGTCTCTACGAATCTGATCACTCTAGCTACTTCATTTAAGTGGAATCCTACAGTATTTGCCTCAATGTGTCCACCTTTGGTAGAAGTGAGAGTGATTGTAGACAGAGGAAAAATTTGTGTTTCAATGGAAACTATAATACCTGTGGATGTTAGATTCTAGTTCTGCTCATTGTTTTTGAGATTTTGTTTTCCACCCATACACTGGGCTGGGTCCTGAATTGTTTCAGTTTCCTCAGTTATTTGGCTATAGTCTCCAAACTAACATTTCCCGTTTTTCCCCTATTTTTGACTTGGAATCATTGAGAAACTAAGGCTGCCCTTTTCCTAAAGTCCTGCAAAGAGAAGTGAATCAACTTGATATAAACTTAAAAGAGGTCACCATCATAGCTGTCGTTTAGACAATCTTCAAGCCTCTTTCTATGTGAGCCAGTCAGAAAGCTGACCTGAACACCCAATGACTTCACCAGAGACATTCAAGCCAGGAAAATCTGGTTTGAATCTGTCCATTATCACTGTCTGCCCTCACTCCATCTAAAGATGCTTTGTGCCTTACTTCTAGAAATCATCTCAACATGCAGCTCTCGGGACTCAGACACTGGGCTATAATTTTATATAGACCTTTGTTTTTCTTTTGTCTCCATAGAAATGTCTTCTATTAAATACCTAATTCTTTGCACCTTACAGGCCTAAGTTTGAGACGCCACGTGCTTCACCACCTTCTGAAATGAATTTAACTGGACTGATCCATCGTCAGCACCAAGACACTGGCTCAGTACAATGAAACAGTCTACCAACTCAGCTCCTGGAGTGCGAAGCTTCTTGAAGAAGTTTCAGAGGAGGGACTGCAGGGGAGCCAACTACATCAGGTGCCCCAAAATGTGTCTCTTTGGCAAGAGGATTAATTTAGGCTGATTATGTTTAAGAAACAGAACACGCAGGAAGTCCTTCTTTTTACCTTTCCCTAAAGAACTTAAATAAAGGACTCACTCCCAGAATAAAGCTAACACCAGACATGTCTGCAGAGGGCAGCAGCTAAGTGTGGTGAATTGCCTTCCCCCACTTTGAAGTCCCAAACCACTGCCCTCCCCTAAACTCTTTTTCCTTCTCTTTAGCTGAAGATGTTATTTAAGGCAAGGGTTTGGGCCATTTGACAAGTTACCCAGTTTTCCTGGATCTCTCCCGTGTATACGTGTTATCACACTGTTTGAGTTTCTCCTGTTAATCTGTCTGTGAATTTAATTCTTAGACCAGCCAGAAGAACTCAGAAGGGTAGAGGAAAATTTCTTCCTCTTCCATGTGGAACATAACTTCTTACTCTTTGAGTGAGGGGTACACTGGGGACTTCCTTCCAAAGAGTACGGTATGTAAAGGGGACCCAAAAAATAACTTAATAGTGGAGAAACCTGACAAACACTGTACCTCAACCAGATAACCAAGATCAGTGTCAAGTGATAAATCATGTTGATGGTATGTGCCCCTGATATGCTATGATAAGAAAGGCACTTTACCTAACCACGTCCCATGCAGTTTTGTCCCAACTTACATGTGACATACTTATACTAAATAATTAAATAAAGTATATTCATTGTCCAGCAGAAATCCAAATTTATCTTGCCATCTGGCATTTCATCTGGCAACCCTAGACCAGAGGCAGCAGTCAACCTGTGATGAAGCAAGCAAAAACTGTCTTTAGCTTGGTGCACAGACTTAAGTCTTTCACATGCAATTTTTAATTTCAGCCACTAGAAGGAATCTTGAGGGAAAAATAAATCCAAGCTCTTCATCCAAGCCAATAATCCTTCAGGGGATT